AAAAAAAATTCACTTGATTTCTAGAGGTTAGGTTGATAAGAGAGGGAATTTATTTACACACAACTCTTATACATATTATTTATATAAAATTTAATTATTTATCTCTCAAATATGAATGAATAAAATTTATCTACTTTTTATCATATTTTTAAAAAAATATATTGTCTTTTTTAGCTAATTTTTTATCACCTCAATTGGTAAACACTAATATATATATATATATATATATATATATTATACATGAGGTAAGTATAAAATAGGCCGTATTCTTAAATTTTTTTTAGAGAATTTCTTTAAAAGCTTGCATTGTAATTAATATTTTCAAAAATTAATAGTTGAACAAAGACATATTATATTATACATGAGGATATGGGACAGGTTGTACTCTTAAATTTTTTTTTTTTTTTGAGAATTCCTTTAAAAACTTACATTCTAATTAATATTTTCAAAAATCAATAGTTATATTGAAAGTTCTATTTATATAAATCATGTATGTTAATTTTATACTAATTTAACACTTATAAACTTTGATTAAAGAAATTTTATTTACTTATGTATATATATTTAATGATATTTAATTTTTTATAATCAACACAATAGTTAGACTTATTAAAATAATTTAAAAATTAATATGCATGATTTAAATGAATAAAATTTTTAATTCATCAATTAATTTTTAAAAAATCATTAATGCATGAATTAGACTATTCTTCTCGTGATATTTTATTGAAATGATGTAATTTTAAGAATAATTTTTTTTAATTTTTAATTTTTAAGAGATAAGATGGATTTGCATTATTTTCAAATACATGTGAGAATGGTTTTTTCTCCAACTAAATTGCACAAGAATTCTAAAAGTCTCAAAATATTTTTAATAATAGGAGTCATTAAGTGTATTTAAATATTTTTACAATAGAAGATATTTCTATATATTTAAAACAAATTTGTTGTGATAAAATCTAATATTCCCTCTCTCTCAAAGTTATTTTAGGACTAAGAAATTAAGGATAATTTTTATTTTTACTTATGTAATCATGTAAAAAGAAATAAATAAATTTTTTTTTTATGATAGAATGTATAATTAAGATTAAGATAATCATAAAGTTAAGGTAAAAAAATATTTGTCTTTTTTAAAATATAAAAAATAATTATTATTTTATAATAAATTTTAAATAAAAATCGCTCATTATCCTGAGAGGAACAGGGTATCAGCTCTATATTAAAAATAAGGTCCTATTAATAACATTGTCGTTATAATTTTTTTTTCTATTATCAAAATTTAAATGATTAAAATGGATAATTAAAAATTAAAATTAGAAAGAAAAATAAATAATTTGTCAAGGGTTTTTTTTGGGCACCAATAAATTGTCTGGGATGAATTTTAAAATTATCTTATAAAAATTCAAAAATTAATTGTTTTAAGTTATTAATTTTTTAATTTTTATATATTAAGATTTTTGCAAGAAGAATAAAAGATCAAGATAACAATATTATTACTTTTTTCATTCAGCTTT